GGAGACTAAGATGCGCCCGATACAGGCCATGGTCTTTGCAATCACTTGCTATGTATCAGAGAGCTGGACAATGACTAGGGATGATAGATGGAGAATTGATGCCTTTGAACTGTGGTGTTGTAGAAGTGTTGAATATACCATAGACTGCTAAGAAAATGAACAGGTTTGTCCTGGAGAAAGTGAGGCCAGGCTGCTCCTTGGAGGAAAGGATTCTGAAGCTTTGTCTGACATACTTTGGACATGTTGCAAGGAGGGACCAGTCCTTGGATAGGGACGTCATGCTTGGGAGGGTGGAGGGACAGTACAGGAGAGGAAGACCTTCGATGAGATGGATTGATTCAGTGACTGGAGTAACATGGGTAGGTGTGTCAGAGACGGTGAGATTGATACAGGATAGGGCGGAATTTAGGGCTGTTGTACTTGGGGTTGCTATGAGTCACAGGTGACTTGATGGCACATAACAACAACAACAACAACACAAAAGGTGTAGGAGAATGAGATATGTATGACTTCATAGGAATCTACTTTATGCTATTGATGTTTGTGGAAATTCTCCCTTGTGCAGTTAGTTGTGGTCAGATACTACCACTTTTATGCTGACCCATGTTGTTTCTACAACTATGCTAAATTAAAGATGCATATTCTAGATATCCAAGATGGCGGTGGAGGCATAGACAGCGTGGTGAGCTGCAGGAGCAGTGAACCACTTAAAGCAGGGCCATTATGGCCTTCCACAGATTTTGGCTTATTGATAATTGAACACTTAAACAGTTGATGACTGGCCCTCAGTGAAGATCGAGGCTCAACAACAGGAATTCAAGGATTTCCAAGGAGAAATGGGTGAGTCTCGTGGCTCCCAACCCCCTCCCGCAGAGCCCGTGCCACTCCGCACAGCCGCTGCAGCTCCATGAGGCTTCCACAGCTGGAACCAATGGATTCCCTCACCCAGGATGGATGCTGGGCACCAGCCGTCCTCAAGACTGGTGCAGTGAAGCCACCACACTGCTGCAAGGTGGTCTTGTTCTGGAGAGAATTCTTGGAGACAGGATGGCGGCTGTGGGGGAAGCAGGCGCCCTCTGGCTGCCCGCACAAGAGGGGCCGCGCACCCGCCGAGTGCCTGTGCGGTGGGGTGGGGGGGCACACCCCTAACGGCCACCCCCGCTGGGGTGCCTCCAGCAGGCCTCCCACGCACCCCCC